TTTAGACTTAAGTCCACGAATACAATAAAACTTACAATCATAACTAAGAAACGACATTTTCACCACCTATTATAAAGGAGAACTTTGGCTGTGCAATATCGTTTTTATTTTGTTGATATCGCTTATACGAAAAAAGTTCTTATGATTCCAAAATCCATTATTATTTGTGTTTTTCAAACTTAAATAACTTTTTTAGGTTCCAATAACGAAAAAATTACAGCGTTAGTCTATGAATCATGCATCAGTAAGACATACAAAGCACCCTCACAAAATTATTCAATAAATACAAGATGGGAAGCAATCAAAGAAACTATACATAATAGTATAATACAGCCAATAAAACTCTTATAACTTATAAGAATTACCTACGTCAAATCCCAAAAAACCATGGATAAATGAAAAGATAAAGAACTTAAAAACAAAATAACCTAACCACACTCTCAACCAAGTTGAGAGCTTTAAATATCTAAGCGGTACAATTAGCCTAGATGGAAAATGTACTATAGAAGTAAAATCAAGGATCGCTCAACCAAAATAGCATTCATGAACAAAAGACCCATACTGTGCTCTAAAGACATGAGTATAAGTATGAGAAAACGGCTAATAAAAGTATATTTGTGGAGTATCGCACTGTACGGATGCGAATCATGGGTACTGAACAAAGTAGAACAAAAGTTCTTTGAAAGTTTCGAGATGTGGTGCTGGAGAAAAATATTGCGAGTAAGCTGGACAGAAAGAAGTACTAAGGAAAATGTTTTAAACGGAATAAAAGAAACCAGGAAGATACTTAGCACCATAAAAGAAAGAGGATGGAATATGATTGTTCATGTCTTAAGACACGAAGAAGAGCTTCTGCATATTATAATAGAAGGGAAGATGAATGGCAAAAGAGATCGAGGATGACCAAGAACGTCATACATCAAAAGGATGATTTCCGATGCTGGTATAGAAAACTATAAGGAGCTGAAGAGGTTAGCTGAGAATACAGATGAGTGAAGAAATTTCGGAAAACTGCCAAACCAATAAGAACGATATTGCACAGCCAAATTTCTCCTTTTCATGTGGTGAAAATGTCGTTTCATAGTTATAACTGTAGTGTTCTTAGTTTTTTTTCAGCTTAAAACAGTTTTTGCTATGTTATACATTTGTAAGACCGAGAGATATAATATGCGGGTGCAACGTCCTCTTAAGATATTTTTTATGAAAATCTGTTCCTATATAGTACCTATATATGCAGTGGTGTATCCAGGGGGAAGGCAAAGGGGGCATTTGTCCCCATCCCCCATCACCGTGATTTCCCTTTGTTTTACACTGTGTTTAGCCAATTTTGCAGAAAATGTACTTTTTGTACTTTTTCCCCCTCCATGCTCTCCCAAAAATTAAGCCCTGGATCCGCCACTGTATATGTGTACCTATATAAAATAAGTGGAAGATTATCGTCACCTATCATATGCTTTCTTATATCAGCAATCAGATATCTGTGGTTTCATCAAAAATACCCTCACGTATTTAATCATAATAATTGGAGACAATTATATGAGTTTTATCATTGATTACAAATACTAGTATTAACAATCAATAGTTATATGTTATATAGATGGAAAATTATATAAATTATGTAGTATATATGGCTGGGTATGAAATAGTAGTGAACTTATACTTAATCTAAAAATCAATAGTTAACTTTCCCACTTAGATAAGAAGCAACAACTAAAATAAAAACTAACAACTTTGATTTAAACAATTGAAACAACTTTATTAAGCACTTTCTAATTCAAGAAGCACTAGGTCGACCTCGCGAAACAGCGCAGGCCACCAGTCACCACTCGCTTCACTCTATCTGCGATAGCGAACTACTCTATTTTAACTCCTCCAGACAGCGACAGCCAGACGCCACGCAATCTAGGGGTGTACGCTCAACTTTCCGGCTTAGAACTGTTGTCCTCAACAGTTACAATTTTACATTTTACAACAAAATCCTAATTAAGTACAACTAATATTATTTAAACATTTCATCCTTACAGAATAATACAATTTATAATAATTTAACAGTTTATAATGATTTAACAGTTTAGTCAGGTTCAGACAATAAGTTACCTCTTATGACCTGACATTTGATTATAACACAGACTCTAAATAATAACAAAAATGTCAAAACAAAAAAAAATAAAAAAATATTAAACAACAAATATTACTTTTTTTTAGGATAACCAAATAATCTCATTTGAACGCTATACAACTAAACTGTATATTTTTTTAATTTTTTTTGATAACATTTTTCTGTTTCGGTAAAAATAATTGGTAAGATTTATCAAAATTGGGAAATTTAAAAATTATTTTTTGGTTAGAAAAGTTCAATAACTATTTTCATTGTAAAAATTATTAAAATCGCTTTGTGTTGAATAAAATGAATGGTCTGCAGTACAATTTGCTGTTAATTTATTTATACAAACGATATTTAAGAGTTTGTGGTAGCCGGTAGGGCAATCTAATGCACATAATCAACAAATGTAATACCAATTTATTTTTCAGGTAAAGTTTACGATAAGCCATTAACTGATTTCTGTGAGAAAAAAATTGGAGTTTTCAAAGAATGTTTCCCAAGAAAGAAGTGAAAGGACACTAAAATAGAGTAACGTTTCAATATTTTGTGATAATTTTAAATTATCTAAATAATACAATATATTATTAACTTGACTCTTAATATCTCATTATATTATAAGGTTTTAGTTAACTCCCAAGTCCCAACATAGATGTATTGGAGCATTTCAGCTACAGAATAATTCACAGCCCTTTAATAATTTTAATTTAATGATTTTTCGTACATAATTATTAATAAAAAAAAACGCACTTATATAATGGGTGGAATGAAAAATTCTTTTATTTTGGCCCCTATTATTTATCATATTTTATAGGTATTCTAGTCATATACTATGTAACTTGTAATAATTATCATATATATACCTACATTACAATTTATCTTTGTTTTATATTTATATCATATGCATATATCATAGTGACATTGTAACATAATTTTCTTCTTTCCCTTTATATTGTATCATTATTTTTGCTATTATTATCACTATTAATTATTAAATTCTGAGCGGAATGATAAATAATAAATATATTGATTTTAAAATTATGTGTTTTTTTCAGTGATTTGAATTTTTTTTTTTTTTATATATCTGACATCACCTTTTGGGGCAGTTAAACTGCTTTGATTTTCTTCAACAGCATCTTATTCGATGAGAAAGTGAATCTAGTTGGTGCATTCGGGAGGACAAAAGTTAAAATCTTCAATTTTATTGTTTTCCGAAGTGCCGGAAATAAAAAAAAAAATTGAGAATTACTGTCTTGGGACGGTACTACGGTAGACAGAAGTGAAAAATTCTACTATAGGTATAATAAATTTTTGCAGAACTAGGCACTAGCCCACTGCATGGTATATTATAATATATAATATTGTATAAGACACTATTTAAGATAGTATCAGTATGGTTAACCATCGACTTGTGATAAGAAAGCCAGTACAGTGAATCTCCCTTTTTTTTATTATAGCAGAGTTCAATGTGAGCAGAATAGTGTCGTAAAGGTGACTTCACGCTGCTCTGTGATCCATAAACCGTAATTCCGGTAATTTGAACTTCAAACACTGATTAAAATTTAATTTGACTTTTCCGTAGAAATTTTTTTTCGATCAAGATAGACAAACTTATAAGGAATCTTGAATGAAATTTTCAAATTTTAGATTTAAAAATAACAATTTTTATGAAAGTTTCTAACTCAAAAAATGCACACATTTTCGTGATTTTAAATCTTTTGTCAAAATTCAAACTTTAAATGCTTATAAAAAAAAATTGTAACTATATTTTTTATATTTTTCAACTGTCATTGTAACATCTAACAATATTAGGAGCATTGCATTAAATTTTATAGCTTTTTTACCCAACAAATGAAATTTTATTGACATTCATGGAAAAAAAAAACTAAAAAAGGTGGGTGTCGGCATGTCGCTCTGCTGTGTACATTAAGTTACAAGTGGATCACTGTATGATGGACGGTATTAAATTTGAATTCAATGATATAATATCATTGTATACGAAAAATGATTCTGAGCGGTGTCGGTTTGTCAGTGTGGATATTTTACACCATGACAAATTAAAAAGGTATGTCAGCAATATTCCAGTTTAGAAGGAAATCACGCACCCACCCTCCGCCCAACATAGTACCGTCACAGATTATATTGGTGAATGCCGCAGTGCACTGACGCCGAACACTCCACCACCACTCCACCGCTCAACCAGTTGGAGAAATGCTTACGTCACAGACATGCGTATCACAAGTTGCTGACGAATGGCGGACATTTCTCGCCCCCGTTTTTTTTTTGTTTTTTATTGCGGGTTTAATTAATAATATGATAAATATTAGATAACTCATACATAGTTTATACACAAAACACTTAACAGTAATACCATTAAATTATGATACATAATTATTCTGTTCCAGTTCTTATAGGTTTGTTTCCAGTCCCTGGAAGTCCCAGTTCTAGTCACTACTAGTGAATGATCATTAGTGACACTGGGAACATTGTCCTTGATTTCTAGTTAATAATGAAAAATGTTGAAGATCACATTCATCATGAAATCCACCAATAGGATCAAAATGAAAAGACACTAAAGTGTCCTTTTGAGAACGTAATTATTGGTCTTGACGTGATTTCAAATGTGTCATTAGATTGCAATTTAGTAAAGTTGTTTCTAAACAACAAGCATCTTGAAACATAGGCGCTTAGGTATTATTCACAAAAGAAAGTAACATAATATTGTCAGTAAATGTTTCAAATCATGTTTTTCCGTAAAAATTTTGAAGTACTTCTTTAATTAAAGTTTAAACACATTGGGTTGGTTTGTCAAAATAAAAGTTATATAAATTAAATATTACCAATGATTACAACCAATGGTGTTGTTATTTAAAGTAAAAACAGTTACTATTATATTTAATTAAATGATAGATTTTCTAGAATTTTTTTTCGCAGAGGTTTTGGAGAATTTATAAAATGGATTTATGCGGTTTGCATCTGGTGTCAATTTCAAAACTCCTTGAACCGGCTGTTTGGAAGCATCGTGTGGATTTTGAGGCTTAGTCACTAATGATGTCTTATACTCCATAAACTCTGAAACAAAATTAACACAATTAACAATATTATTTCAATCATAAGCAATTCTGATGAAACAAACATTTTTTACCTTGCTCGACATTGTTTTTCAATTGAAATTCAACTCTTTTCTTAGCAGAATCGGTTTTGATTGACAGCCTTGAACTTTTTCTCGGAGAACTACAACCATCCTCAAAAGCCTCACTTCGCTATGATAAACAAAAACCATAAATTAAATTAAATTTTAAATAACAGAGGTTATTATTTTAACTTACAACTTTTTCAAGTGCCTTATTTGAAATTTCTTCAGGTTTTAACATGCTTATTTCTTCTCCTGCTATTGTCTTCCTACGCTTTTGCGATACTTTTGTAGCTGAAGGTTCTTTCACTTTTCTTTTAGGTGTACCTTCATTTTGACCATCCGGTTTCTTCTTGGGAATTATAATTGTTCTTCGTCGCAACACTCTTTGTTCAGGAGTTGGACTTTTAGGGCTTTTAGGGCTCTTGGAACTCTTATCTGGCGTACTTACAGATGTTAATGAAATACGTTTTTCTTCTTTACCAGGTTCGTTGCTCTTTTTAACTTTTTTAGATGCAGATCCATCACTATCAGCAGATACCGACCAACTATTGTTATGACTTGTGTTTGCAACATTGGGAGAACTAATCTTAACAAAGGGAGAGTTTGATTTTTGAATACTTTTCTTATTTGGTTCATTAACAGTTTTTGATACTGGAGATTTACTCAATTTGAGTTTTTCATCACTGCACACACTCCAACTCTCATTTAGACTTGAATTTGTATTGATTTCATTAGAACGACGTTTTAGTTTGGATATAACTAAATCATCAGTAGTTTGATTTTTTTCCTCAACTCCATTATCTGATGTAAGATCATTGACAGGTGATGCATTTACTGCTTGTAATGCTTTAGCAGACTCAATGCTCTTTTTAACCTTCTTAGAAGCAGACCCTCCATTGTCTGCAGATACTGACCAACTGTTGTTCAGACTCGAGTTTAAAAGATTAGGAGTACCAGTTTTAATGAAAGGAGAATTTTGTTTTTGAATAATTTTTTTATTTGAACCTTCATTATTTTTTGAAATTGGACTTTTACTTTTACGTTTATTAGAATTACTTTCTTTTAGAGATGAATCAACTGTTAAAGATTTGAAATTTGGAGTTAAAGAAACCTTTTTCTGAATTTTTGTTGGTGTCTTTTCTGGAGTCTCTGAAACTTCAACGTTAAATCCAGCTGGCACCAGAAGTGGTGGTTCATCATCAGTACCACAAACAGTGTTAGTGTCATCAATTTTTGTTTCCTCTGATACAGTCCATGACGCATTTAAATTAAAATTCTCTTTTAATGTATTGACATTTTCAAACTTTCTTACTTTCCACACAGATTTTCCAATTTTTCCACGTTCTACTACAATTTCACCCATCTTATTAAGTTCATTAAGACTTTTAAGGTCACTTACTTCACGGCCACTTTTTTTAATCTTAGAATCAACCATTTCTAACTTTTTAACTCCTTCTTTTACCATTTTAGATAAATATTTTTTCTTTTTTCGCTTTAATACTTGACTATTTAGCTTCAAGTCTTTTGGCTTATAGGGTAGTATACCATCTCCTAAACGATTATACCATTTTATCAATTTAGTTATTTCTAATAAACACTTTCTGGTACAATCAACTTCAGTTACATATCTATTCAAAACCTTTGCTACATCTTTAGGATTGAACTTGATGCGAGGTATTTCCACACTTACATTTCCAGCACGAGGATCTAATGGTTTGTCATTTACTTCATTTTGATCGTCATCTGCAATGTCACCTTCGACCAATTCTAAGTCGTTATATGATTTGCCTGGTTTACCCATCTAACATAAAATATTGAAATTAAATTAAATTATGGTACTACAATAATATACCAATATATTATAGGTTAATTTAAATTAGTGATTTGACAAACTGATTGAAATTCTAACGAAAAATTAGAAATGTTCAACAACCTGGCATAATAGAATGTATCTTATTTAGGTATTTAGAGCCAATATAGATGACTACAAATATTTTCAAATATTATAAATTTATAAATACAAATACATAATTATGTATACATTATGTATTATTTAATTACTAATTAGCATTATTATTTGAAGTAATAATGTATTTTAAAATATCTATATATTTAATAAACTATACTGCTATTTAAAGTAGTGATAAATAAATAGAATTATAATAAAATGTATAACTATCATTTGATAAAATTTTACTGATACATACACTTTGTTTTAAAACTATTATAGATTAATCAGATATTTTAATAGTTTGATTCAGCTTTGCTTTAAAAATAAAGAGATGGTTTGGGTTCAAACAATCACTAATGTAAATGTAATAAAATAAACTGAGAAAGAAAATAGTTGTTAAGTTACTCACCTTCCGCCAAGCTTCAAACTTAGCTTCTAACATTTCTAAATCAGGTGATTGAGATAGAAGATTTCTAAACACATTTTGGGTAACTTCTCTGATTAACATAAAATCATTGAGCTCAGAAATGTAATGTAGGAATGAATCTAAAATAATGACCAAAGCTTCAGAAGGCACTTTTCCTCTACTAACCTAAAAATATATAACACAATTTTCATAATTATATGTATATATATATATAATATATATATAAGACAAAAAAAAAATACATGATACATACTTTAGCAAGTTCTTCCAAAAAAATTTCTTGTAAATGAGTTCTTAAACTAAGAGTGAACGATTTGAGGGCTCTATATAGAACTTCACTAAATTTATTCATATACTCTATGTTCCAGTCACAATTGACAAAGGTAAATAGTAATTGTCTTAAACAACGCCTCACCAACATCATAAATTTATCAATACGATGCTGACTTATTGACATCCAATCATCTTTGATGGTAAGAAAAAATGCATCCAAAAATAATATTTTACCTTCATAAGAAGTGCAACTATGGATAAGATTACTTATTTTTTCAGTAGCACTTTCCTGAAATTTTTTTTAAAAATTGTATTATTATATGATAAAAAAAAAATAATAACTGCAAGACGGTGTGTGTATAGTACATCAAAACAGGAGTTTTAAACTGAGATTCATACTGTGTAAGATACAGGTAAATTTGTTATAACTTGTAAGACAACTAATTTTTTAATGCATCAATTAACCCCTAGTACACTCCAAAACATCAGAAATATTGTGTAGAACGTGCTTTCGTAAAAATCATCAAAATCGTACATTTAAAAATTAAGTTATAAATGAAAAAGTAAGAACTTATTAATGGAAATTTATATTAAATTCAGAATCACGGTAGCCGTCGTCGTTGCCAATGTTACCAACAATATTACAGTTCTTATAGATTATCGTGTAAATATTCAATATCTAGGACAAAAATTAGTGATATCACAACAAAAACCCTTTGTAAAAATTGTGTAAAAATGGCTAAGTATAAAAAATATAAGATCTTTAAGCACTATAAAGCAAAGCTGGACAAGTTAGTCATTTTTTTCAACTAGTGGAAGTTAAGTTACTTTAATAAAAAAAACTCACTAAGTTAGAATATAAGTTAGTTTCTGAAACTGTAGAAATTTCTAACGAAGTTTGTTTGGTGAAAATAGTAACTTAAGTTTGAGTAGAAGTTAGAAGTTAGTTTTTTTTTATAGATTACAAAACCTTTTTGTCGAAATGTAAATAATAAGTTATTTAACTTCAATTATTGATTAAAACTGAAAAATTGAATTAAAGACCTAGTAATTTGATCAAAATATTCTAATTAGGTAAGTAATAATTTAAATAAATTGGTATACCTATCACTTATCAGTTATTAGAACATATAGGGTGAAACAAAATAAAAAACTATATATAACAGTATGTCAACTTAAAATATTAATTAAAATTAAAATATTCATTTTGATATGAAAAAAATAATAATAATAATAATTAGTTAGTTTTTTTTCTAACGAGTTACATTAGACTATTTTACCCATTAAATTCAACTAGTTAAGTTACAAAGTTAATATGAATAAAAACCAACTAGTTAAGTTGGAAAGTTACTTAAAAAAGTAACTTTCTAACTAGTTAGTGCCCAGTTTTATATGATATCATGCATAAATGCTAAGTATATTAAGTATATTGAATTTAAGTAAACTCATTTTGTTTCAATAATTTATTTACTTGGCGAGGAATCATTTAAAATAGTATATAAATATTATTTATTATATTATTATATTTAAAATAATAATAAGTTATATTTTTAAAGTCCTTCGCCATTTAATTATTTTGTTCATCACACTTTGTTTCTTTTAAGAAATAATTCCTCACCAAGAAAATAAATTATTGAAACAAAATAGGTTTACTTAAATTCAATATACTTAATATTATACTTATTACCATTTATTCATGATATCACACTTTATAGTGATTAAAGATCTTATATTTTTTATACTTAGCCATTTTTACAAGTAGTTTACGAAGGGTTTTTGTTGTGATAAAATGTATACACATAATAAATATAAATTTGTATCACTAAATAAAACTGTTCACTATTTAGATGTGTATGCTGCTTTCACTGCATTTAGTGATTCAACTAGGATGATACACTTTAGGTTTAGATACAAGCATAGACATTTGAATAGTCAAAATTATCAGGTCTATGCCTATAAATCAATTGTGACTATATTTCTAGACATTTATTATAACAAAATATTTTAACATTAATTGATTAATTATTAAATTTTAACATAATTCCTATAATTTTCAGTTTTAATTAATAATTCAAAATGCTTAAAAAAAAAACAAATGATGAATCATTTATAAATATTCTGAAATAAAAAGTATCTAATGTCAAATTGATAGACATATTTTACATATGTTTAATTAATGTAAGCAAAATATTATTTACTTGAGGTAGTGGTTTATCTGACATCCACATAAAGTAAAATAATCCTCTCCATATAATCAAATAATCATTCAATTGAAATGCTAAAAAAAATTAAAAAGTAATAATTAATATTTAATACAAATTAAAAAAATAATAATTGGCATTTTTGACTTTAAAATTAGAATAGTGGGACCCAAGTGGGTACTTACTCTCAGTGAGAGGGGGAAATCGAAAGACGGCCATCTCCAAGGTATTTTAAGAGGTGGTGACTAGTGGGAGTGGGTGGGTAATTAACAATATTCGATAATTTATCAATAGCTATTATTCTATTTTAGTAATAACTACAACAGGTAGGTAGTTAAAATATGACAGATCCTCTATAGGAAAAAAAATTGGCAGACAATAACATAAGCCACTTAATTTTAAATTCAAAATAATGTGTACCTACTTACCTACATTTAATTATATATTATTAACAAATTATTTATAAAAGGTCTACAAAGTCAAAATAATCATGAATTTATATTTTTAATCATCACCTACTTATAGAATAGATATATATATATTAAAACTATTGACCTACCTACCTACAATATATTATATATTACAATTTTAACAAATCATAGATTAAACTAATAAAAAAATGCTGTTATTTATCCTTAAATGGAAAATACTTAAATTTGAATACGTTATGTCTAATTTGTTAACTTTAGGTAGGTACCTACTTAGTATTTTTATTTAAAAAAATTGTTATAAAAAAAACTAGGTATGGTTACAATAAGAACCAATCTTGGAGATATCCAAATTCTCATAGGAATTATTTTAAATGTAACTATTTATTACTTTTCTTAAGGGTAATAAAAACATTTAAATTTTAAAGTTTATCGGTGCTTAAACCAGAATTTTATTCATTACCTACATATTTATCAAGTTGATGAAAAATGTATAAACACTTTAACGATAAGATTTACTATAATTTTAAAGGTATAGGTATTTCTACTTTACCAGACACCCTTTTTTTTGCAACTTATGTAGTAATGTACCCTGAAAAAGATGGTGGAGTCAGAAGTTGGAGCACGGACTTAGTTTTGAAGTTATGGCCTAATGAAGTTCACTATTTTGCGATTTTTACGCATTCGCGCATCACACTAGTCTACTATGACTATTTAAAATATTGATATTTTTTTTTTCGATGAGTGACGCAAAACGTACCCTGTGACCTACTTGAGGTGGTGTTGCATAGCAAGTTGAGGGATATTTTCGATTTGAGCAGAGCAGAGACAAGTGCTGATACAGGCATAATCACTGCAACATTGAACTTCCATAACTTTTGAACGGTAAGTTTCTGGGAGTTTTTTCAAACAGTTTTGAATTCAGCATAAAAAACCACGTATTTTGAAAAAATGGGGGGGCCGGTAAAGTAGATTTATTCCAAAATCGCAAAATAGTGAACTTTGTTAGGCCATAACTTCAAAACTAAGTCCACGCGCCAAATTCTGACTTCACCATCGTTTTTAGCGTACTTAACTACATAAGTTTCAAAAAAAAAAATTGCAAAAAAAAGGGTGTCCGGTAAAGTAGAAAAGTTCCAAAATATTAAATTTATAAATTTATAAATTAAAATTAAATTAATAACGAGTAAATGTAACAAACCATCACTCGTGTCTCCAGAATGTTTGAGTAACAGTTGTTTAATTTGTTTGATACCATCACTTCTTGTTTTGGGATCATTTGATGCCAATAATTTGGTGAGTTCTATCTCTTTTGCCACTAAGTCCACTTTGTCTTCTGAGGCTTCTACTATTTCTTTTGGGGCTTCGGTAGCCATTTCTAGTTCTAAAGGATTTGTTTAAATAACTGGAAACAAAAAGGGGGGTCAAAATAATAACAGTTTGATGAAAGTGAATGAAGTCTATAACAGTTCGCAACACTTTTTAAACCAACATTGGAAATTTTAAAGTAATATAAACTTATAAGTTACAACACGTGTGTTGCACGAATAAAATATAAACTATTAAATATTTAGTATTTAGTCTAGATAAACGTGTTATCACAACAACATACGCTGACCGTTATTTCTAACCATGTTACAAACCACAGACTTTATAAACAACCTTTTATATAAGGTCTGTGTTATATTTGTGTAGAGACACAGATATCACAGAATAGAATATATATAGGTACAAATTTGTATTATTTCTAATTTCTATTAAAATCGTGATTCGTGGCCGTGGCCCGTGGGTGACGGGTGTAGATAATAATATAATATCAATGGATACGCACAGATTAAATGAAAAATGTTCAACTTTATTAGTTTTTTATGGTGGCACGTTGTTGGGAGTCGACTTCATCATCATAATAAATATTATCAACCAAAATATACCCAAGACAATAAGAAACAAATTTTATTTAGTTTGGTGGTTGTAGAATAATTTGTTTTGTAGTGTCTGGGTTTATTGCGCATATTTTTTTTAAGATTAATTCATTTTTATTACGTATTTTAAAATTATTTAATTATTTAACCAAAAACTCAATTTCTTTAGTAGGTTATAAAACAAATACCTAAATATTATTGATGTTATGAAAAAATATTATACTTGGTTACTTAACGTATAACATCCGCAGTGCCGAACTCGGTAAAAAATTTCGGGGGGGGGGGGGGGGGGGGGAAATTTAAAGTAGGTATTCATAAATACATTTGTAGGTCAGATAATTTATTTTTTGTACCTGTTATTTCAGGGGGGGGGGGATAAACTTCCCCCTGGCTTTTTTCCCTGAACATCCGCCTATAATAATATTTATCTAAATTATACTCACTACTCGTAAGCATAGATAATATTATAATTTATAATTTACGAAAAATACAAACTATATACAATATACATACAAACAAATATAATATGTATGTATTTATTGTATGCTATATACCAATGAACATTTTGAGAAATGTGCAATTGTAATTTGTAATTCCTAAAAAAAAATAACATATAAATACCTAATATATTAACCAACACAATACATATAAACATGTACCTATAGTGTATAAATTATATTGCTATCCTGCGGCAGATTGCAGACCTGACGTCTAAGTGGGTATAAGTGAAGAGAAAAAATAGTATAACATGGGTTATTCAAATGAACTATTTAGTATTTATACGGGCAAACCGCGTCGCTGAACGCCGCGGACGACCGCTCTTGTATTTTTCGGGTGGTTAACCGCTTCCGATTGCCATAATTAATCTATGATTTATTACTATATTATTTATTACTTTTATAACTTATTCAAATTTCAAGTTAATTTGTACTTACCGTTTTCAGTATATCGTCACCGTTATCGAGATCAAGCAGAGTAGATCGTCATCGAGCAAGAAATGATACCAAATGAAGACAATATTCTGCTCCGATGACACAAGTCATATGGTTCCTAATTAATATACCTACTTGTATTTTATTATTTATTATGTATAGTAGGTATATTAGCATCATTTGTACATATAATGCATATATCTAACCGTATAATAATGATACATTAAATTAAATTTGAGTATTCAAATTTTTGATTATACTTTATTATGTACAGAGAATATAAGTACTATTGTTTTAATATAAACTGTAGATGTTAATTATTTTTACTCATTTTATTATGCCGGAGCTAGGGTCCTACTCCTATACAAATACACTGACACGGACAACATACCCACAAAAAAAAAAAAAAAAAACAGAAGCCAAAATTTACCAACAATCAAAAAAAGACTCCCAAAAACTTAGACAGAAGTATATAAAATTATACACATACAAAAAGTAATTATTTTTTCCTTGGTTTTAAATGTTATGGATGTAAAGACAGAATTCACTCGAAGTTACTATAATATTGAATAAACACATAATGTAATAGTTTATAAAAATATATTAATTTTAATATTTGAATAAGTCTTTGGATAGTAATATAATACATAAACATTTGCACTAAACATTTTAGTCATTACAATAAATAATATTTCAGAATAAATTACTATTAACAAACAAATGTTCCAACACATAAAATCCATATTATAACGTTTTAACTAAAGACAAGATAACTTTTTGTAAATAAAGTAATTCAATTTTAAGTTTTAATTAAAATCTTAAGAATATTCATAAATAAATTAATAATTATACTGTAGTTATCACAGGCTTTTAAAATGCATATTTATTGCACAAAATATTTTAATTAATACTTAGGTATATTATATCACTGCATATCCTTTATTCTGGATATGTCGTTTGAGGAATTCGATTGAGTTTAATACGTGATTCCGGATTTGCGGACTGACCAACAACTTATGTGTTTGATCTGGATTATCTGATTCTGTTTTTGATTCCATGTTTAAAAAGCTTTGGGATTTACGCACATAATCGGCAACTCGAGAATATGCTGTGTCATTCTGTTAATGAAATGCAAATTATTTAAATACTATTTTAAGGTAGGTTACTGGAAATTTTATTTTATTTTTTTGTTATTACCTGTGCTGTCATGCAAATAGTTATTGTAATCAGTGAAGGATCACGGTGACGTAGACTGGGAGTAACAATTTGAGTTATTGGTAAGCGTAGTACATTTGGCATCATGCGATTTGGATCTTTGATTAAATACAAAAATCTATTTGTCAAGACCAATGTTAATTCCGATACTTTAAGTTCTTGGTCTAAATTATCCACAGTTGCATCACAAGTCAATAAAATTTGTTCTGTTGTGGTCAAATATTTGTTTAATATTAACCAAGAGTATCTGAGTTCTGACGCACCGAATCCTATTTCACTGTTGCTGAGACTTGAACGCAACTAAACAAAAACAATAACGTCAGATAGGTACACAAAATAAAATTGATTGCAAACCTTTGTTCTTCTAGTTGTAACCAAAATAAATAAATAATTTTCTTTTCCTTTGCCCTTCGCTCTCAATTATATCGGTTTGACGGTTGACCATCATTGTCCTACACCTCTTCAGGGCCTGTCTTCCACCTCATCTTTACACACACCAGTTTTTTTTTCCAGTTCTCTATTCTGTCTATCCATCTTTGATTTAGTCTTCGCCTCCCTCTCTTGCCTTATCCATATCCACTCCACCTCCTCAGTCATATATTCTCATAACATGGCCAAACTATCTCGTCCCATCCTTCCTCATTTTGTAGGCATCTACAATTCATGGCACTCCTGCACTATCCCTAATGATTTTATTCTAACTTCAATAGTCAGTCCACATATACACCAACAATTCTAATCTTGGCTACACTTTTTCTTTGTCCTGTTTTATTGTTAACTAAAGTTCAAAATAAATAAAAACCAAAGAAAAGAAAATTTAAAAAGGGTTAGGTTACCTGAGGACTTTTAATCCAACCCACGCCAGCCAAAAAACCTTCGCCTGTCATTGCTACTAGTTCTGCAGCTCCACTTATTGGTTTAGTAATGGCTTCGACAAAACCTATAGCTACAGTATTGACAAATCCCCTTCTTCTTTCAGGGCCTTCTTGAATTGCATATTGTATTGGATGATTTACTAATCCGCCAACTGCTCCCAACAAACTAATTCCAAATTCACTTAGACCTTGTATGATTCCCTGTGATAAATTCTGTGGTCGTAAACGTCTAATTTCTTCAATTTGTTCCAAATCTTCAGCTTCTAATGTTAATCGGTTGAATGTTCTCGACCAACTAGATGCAAATTTTGTTACTGATGATAATGCTCCTGTTGTAACATGCTTGACTAATGATGCAGATCCACTTAAGACACCAACAAAAAATTCTTTTGGACCTTCAGTCATGCCTTGGGCAGATAAAGTCACAAAATCATACAATCCAGTTCCAACAGATCGTGCTAGACCGCCAGGAGAGCCCCAGAATTCTAATGAACCCAATGCCCATCCTGTACCGTATATTGCATTTAAAAAATAGTGCAATGACAAACTCCGACCGAGTTGATAATAAGAAGCAATTAAATCTGTTTTAGAAAATTCTGTAAAATCTAAAGGAGACCGGTCGAGAGCCACATAGAACGTTGTTGATGTATGTAAGCTTATCATCACTTTGAAAGGTTTTATAGTGAATGTTCTAAACACTAAAGGATTACGAAATTCTTGGGAATGTGCCAGTACTAAGTAATGAAGTGGAATGAACTCATCCATACCAAGATTATGTTCTTGTGTAATAGACATAGTTGATTTAAAACTTTTCAATATTTCCAACATATAATAACAGTAGCGATCTTCTATAAATGCTTCAAAAGTGAATAATGTTATTTCTAGATCCAAAATTACTGGAACAAACATCAAAAAAGGTTATTAATTGGTTTTTAGAATGTATTTTGGTTATTTAAAATACATAATAAGCAATCATATTGTATATACTATAGTTTATAAATACCTGGTGTTAAATAGTATGATTTATCTAATGTCAATTTTATAATAATGGCAGAATCTAACCGTCTCAAATCATTGATTACATTTGACAATGGTTTCAAGAAACTTGTATCACAATAAACTTCTTCAAAATGTTTCTTTTGCTTTACGAGTATCACAGGAAAGTCATAATGCCCATCAATAAATGCGTTATTATCAATTTGAATGTTATTTATTGAAATTATAAGGTTCATTTCTCCTTTTGAAGAATCCTAAAATATGTTTAACTTTTATAGTTATATCATAACAAGATATTTAGCTGTATAATATATTTAAGGTAGATGATATAGTTAAAATAATAAAATATAGTTAAGGTTATTTAAGAAAATGATCTAATAAAAACTATTGGCTAATCATATAATTGTATCATGAATATGTATGAAAAAAACAACAT